AATGCCTTTGTCTCTTTTCGTGATTTCCTGAGCAAACGGTATAAGTGTTCGAAAGGCATGCATCGGAATATACACTGTTAGAAAAACTCCTGGGATTTCACGGAGGAACACTCGTGAAAAGTATTGCCAAAGTCCCTTGGGATTTCCCAGAGAACTCTGTAGATTTCACGTGTCGAGTTTAGCTTTGAAACATCATAGACGAATGAAAACTTCCACCTTTAACATCTGTTTTAGTGCACAAAAACGAAGGACGGAGTCCTCTGGGAATTTCTAATAGTGGTGGAAAGTGACTCTTCGGGAAATCCCAAGACATTTTTAACAGTGTAATGCCTCAAAAGGTCTACCATTCACAGTCCTATGTTTCAGGCGTTCCTCCGAGAACTAGTGGCTGGTATTAATGAAAATGGAACAAACGTTATCGGTTTTACGGCATGGAGTTTTATCGACACATTCGAGTTTCATAGCTATGGGTAAGTACGCGTGTGATTAATGAAAGCTTTGCAATTGTAGGTAATTGTACATATTTCTGTATTGTCGCCATACCGATGAGGGAGGAGGTGAGTGTGTGTGCACTTGTAGATAACAATTTTTGTTCTTAGGTTAGATTTGTCCTTGCGCACATCTTTATCAGACAGAAACTTATATTGAAAGAGGTACACGTTGTACCTAGACAGGATGCAAATGCTTTATATTGTCTGTAACCTAGAAAAATCTGTATCTAATTTAGATGTTTACAACAGGTGTCCGTAACTTAACATGAACCTTCCCTTAAGCGGCACGTTATCCGTTAAAGTTATAACTTATAACTTGTGACCGTGCAATGAAACGTTAAGAGTAATAACTTATAACTTGTGACCATACAATGAAACGTTAAGAGATAGACCTAAAATGCCGAAACCAGCTCCAACTAGCACTAGAATAATTTTTGACGAACCATAACTTTAACTTTTATTGCATATTGTTAGACGTTATGTTATATAACTAACGCATATCGCTAATGCGTTCCACGTTAATTTATATAACTAACGCATAACGCTAATGCGTTAAGTTACGGACCCCTGGTTTACAAGGACACATCGACACATCTAAGCCAGGGACAAAATTAGCCTTTCCCATTTTGACACACCTGAAACCTACACGCAATAAATCCGTATCGCCTTTTTCTGTCCCTAGAGAGTCGCATTTAAGTGCACGCCTTCGCTAGATGCGATATTGTGTGGCCCAAATTACGAATTGGCATCGCAATTATGTACAAGACAAAAATTTGTCCATTCGAAGAATACAAACTTGTCATATTGGCAAGATCCGAATTGCAGCCGGTATGGATGTTCACGAAAATGTGACTTTCTACACACTAAAAAAAAATTACAGATTTTTGTATCAAATTTGATATAGTTTTCTGTATCCGGGCACTGTGATACAGAAATTCGTAATGATGATACAGAATCTTGTAATATTCTTTTAAAATTTGTAAACAATACAAAATTCTACATTTATTTCAAAATTTTATATTATTTTAAAAGTTTTAGAATTCGGATTACAAATTTCTGTAACCGGAATACAAATTTCTGTAACATGGAAACAGAAATCTATATTTACGTTCAAAGATTCGCCGATTTAACGTTCAAATTGGACACGATTCGAGTAGCTGTTACACTGACTGCAGCAACATGGAAAATAAAATCTGTTCCTAAAGCATTAACATAGAATTGCCATCTGAAAGCTCGATGGCTATGGGAAAGGCTCTGGGGCAAACCAGTAGACGGGTGAGAACGAGACCGGGTCGGAGCACGACTTCTCGCAGGTAGTCGCCTTAGCCGCGTGGGCTAGGGCGTCAAATCCCGACCCAGAGGTTCGGGGTTCGAATCCCGGTAAGGTAAAGTACTACATTGAAGTTAATCGTCTGTCATGAGAGTGAAACGTCTAGAATGAGACATCCAAGAGAAAAAAATCTCTTTTTCTTATGTGTCAGACCATACAACAAAATGTTGTATTCTGTATCGATGGGTACAAATTTTTGTATCCATGTTACAAATTTATTTTTATATCCAAAAGAATACAATTTTTTGTATCATGCTGAAAAAACTGCATATCCAAATTACAAATTTTTGTATTAATTTTTTTTAGAGTGTAGGGACAAAAAAGTCCCTTAAGATGTAGCGTGCAAACACGAAATGCACGGCAACTCCGTGCACATTAAGTGGAGGGGGACAGTTATTGAACGCAGGCTAGATGTGTCTTTGTGCACACTGCACACCTACAAAAGATACAAATCTGTACTTCCGTTACATACAAAATACAGCATTTGTACCTAGCCTAGGTAAAATTTGAACCTTTGTACAGGACAAATTTGTCTCTGATAAAGATTTGCTCCACCTGCTTGTCTTTAAAGACACATCTAAGACACATCTAACCTAGGTACAGAAATTGTCCCTCCCCATTTAGAGTGTACAGGCACGCATTTTACTGGGTCTCCATACAAAAGTCGTGAGTGCTTGCACGTCACATCTGAGATAAAGCGATTCAAAGTTCATGGATTTCCAGTGTAGTCCATAGACCCCTCCCTTTATTTTTCCTATACATACCGCATGCAGACGTGCTGGCGGGCTTGCCTATACCGTCGCACTAATCGGCACCTAATGACCCCGCGTGAGTATGCAACCCACCTGCATGCCAACATACGGTACAGTCATAAGGACCGAAGGTCCTGGCTAGTTATTTGTATGGCAGATTCAGATTTAAATTTTCCGAATCCATCATTTACTTTGTAGGTTATGTTTCCACGGCTTCGCGCGCGCGCGTTTTAGTGAGAATCGCATTGGCCACGGCGTCACGTGACCCTTATTTTATGTCGAGAGGCTTGCGACATAACATAACTCTTATGTTGGTATCGTAAACGTACCCATAAGATTCAAGCAAAGTTGACTTTATGTTGTGTCGCGACATCACTGGTAAAACAAAGGTAGGATATCCTACCTTTAAAAGGCGTTAAAGCTCCAAAGGCATAACAATTTATGTTTTTTCGAAATATTTCTTTCCCATGGAACAAAATTGGATTCTGAAACCTATTTTCGTAATCTACGCGAAATTCCGCGTCAAACGAGCCTACATATGATGGGGTTCTGTTCGAAAATGGCATAAATTGATTTTATTTTTTGTACTTTTTGACTCGCTCTTTAATTGCTGACCGCTTATCTGAATCCTATCACATGTAGGCTCGTTTGACGCGGAATTTTGCGAGGAATGCGATAATGAATCTCAAAATGTGATTGGTTTGCGCATATAGAAAATATTTTGAAGAAAGTGAAAATAAACACTTTAGCACCCCTAAAAAAGTTTAACGTCCCTGGAAAGGTAGGACATCACACCTTTGCTTTTCCAGTGATAACATAAAATTTCGACATAAAGGTGGATTCAGAGTTCACAAGATGCGAGCGTGATTTTCACGCCGCTAGCGTGAAAAGAGTTGTTTTGGTTAGCAGTTCACTTTATGCAACAGCCAATAACAGGCCGACGTGGGGCTATGCCATTATTTTCAGCTGAATCAGCTTTGGAGCTAGCGTGATTTTCACGCAAGCGTCTGCTAGCAGCGTGATTATTACGCAAGTTCGAAGGGGCACTTGGGAGATATTCGAGAATGTGCACTTTCGAACTTGCGTGAAAATCAGGGCTGGAAAATCGGAATTAAATTATTGGTTTTACTCCTTTTTGTTCGGAACAAAAAGTTTCGTTCTTTCGGTTTCGTTTCGTTCGGAACGGAACGAAACCGACAATTTTTGCAACAGTTTCATTCGGAACGGAACTAAACCAAAAGAACAAAACTTTCGTTCGGAATAATTCATTTGGCGAGAATAAATTCACTCCTTATTGGCCACGTGATTAGAGGATTAAAACGTTTAGTTCCTAGTCACTTGCCGGCGAACAACAGCAAGAGAGGGAAGAGGGGGGGGGGGGGCGTCAGTATGACGTCACGGTACTCTACCCCCTCCCCAACACACACGCGCCTGCATGAACGCACACACACATGCATACACGTGCGCGGCCGGATGCGTGCGTATCGCGTGCGTGTCACGTGCGTGTCGTGTGTGCGCAGATGCGTACGTAACGTGTGCGTGTCGCGGGCGTGTCGCGTGCGTGTCGCGTGCGTGCGTGTCGCGTGCGTGTCGCGTGCGTGTCACTTGCGTGCGCAGATGCGTGCCTGTTGCGTGCGTGCGCAGATCCGTGTGTGTCACGTGCGTGTCGCGTCGTGCATGCGCAGATGCGTGTCACGTGCGTGCGCAGATGCGTGTTGCGTGCGTGTCACGCGCGTGCGCAGATCCGTGCGTGTCGCGTGCGTGTCACTTGCGTGCGCAGATGCGTGCGTGTTGTGTGCGTGCGTGTCACGCGCGTGCACACATGCACGCACACGCACACAGATACTCGCGCGCGCACGCACAAACACAAAAGCACGTAGAAGCCTGGACGCAGGAGCACACACACACGCGAATGCGACAGGTCACAGTAGGCACTATCCCCGAGGGACCAATACGTTTTGTTCTTCCAATGACGTCACCAAAGGAAAGGAACTATGTTTTGCTCATACGAACAAAAATGATCGAATCGAAACGCAGTTTTACTCCTGCGAGTTTTTCTCAGTTTTGTTCGCTGAGGTTTTGTTCTTTGCTTAGTTCCGTTCCTTAACGTTTTGTTCCGTGGAATAGTTCCGATGGAACGGAACTATGCAGTATCGCTCCTTTTCGATTAATTTAATTCCGATTTTCCAGCCCTGGTGAAAATCACGCTGCTAGCAGACGCCTGCGTGAAAACCACGCTGCTAGCAGACGCTTGCGTGAAAATCACGCCGGAAGCGTGAATAATCACGCTAGCTCCAAAGCTGATTCAGCTGAAAATAATGGCATAGCCCCACGGCGGCCTGTTATTGGCTGTTGCATAAAGTCAACTGCTAACCAAAACAACTCTTTTCACGCTAGTGGCGTGAAAATCACGCTCGCATCTTGTGAACTCTGAATCCATCTAAACATAAGAAAATCCATCGTAAACCCGCCTTTACAATGTTGAACTTGCACGTGGTTTTTGCGCAGTAACTGGGGAATGGTGCACGTGGACTTCAACAGCACTGGGCTGGAGCGCACCTTGAAGAACTCGTGGACATTCTTCAAGAGGGTAATGAAAACGCGCGTCGTGCCGCTCGTCGAGGCCGGCTCTCAACCATTCCCAGACGACGACTCCACAACTACCACCAGCACGACAGCCCGCACATCTAGCAGCGTTCCACTTGCAGGCTCTGCAGTTTTGGCCATAGCCGCATTCCTAATAGCAATATTTATATAATAAAGTAGGCCTTCCAAGACTGTTCTTCATTTTAAACGGTTTACGGATCGTTTACAACCAGACATCTAAAACAAGCTAGGCCCCCTCTTTCGGGAGCGGGCCTACCTTAGCCTGCCGGCAGCGAAATCTTTCATTTTGTGGCGCAAGCTGTCTTCGGAAAACTATGGCCTTCGACCCGTTTAAGCGAATTCAGTTGAAACCACCTTTTCGCCGAGAAAATCTTTTGCTGCCTACATCGTAGACTAGGTACATGTACGCCAGACCACCTCTCACGTAACAGGCTTCGCGACATTGCACGAAACACTGTTACGCTGCGACGCGCCTGGCATACATATATCTACGTAGGCCTGCGGCACTGACACCCGAGTCGGGCAAACGGCAGAGTCGTAAATACTGAATAGGCCTTCGGCCCCAGAAATCACAAGATTTGAGCCCTAGAATTTTATTTTCACAAGTTACATCACCGGAGACCGTGAAATATATGAGAAAAAATGTGTTGGGACTATTTTCGTGTGGTAACCTTCGTCTGGCCACGTGAGAAAAAGATAGGCGGTATCCAGGCAGGGGAAAGCGGGACTCGCTGGTAGGGCAAGTCGTATATCGCTTATTTTCGATTCTTGGGTTGTAATAGTGTTTTCCAGGCGCCATTTGGGATGAAAACTCCTGGAAACATTTTTAAAGTTTTTTCCTTTAACGTTTTCATAACCCTACCTTGCCTGTTATTCTGGCCTGCCATAAGAGGTGGTTTTGAAAACATCAATTTTGGGCGTATTTTTTTCTTGACTAAACACGCAATTTTACGATCCTCTGGGAGAAAATTTTAAGGAGAAGGCTCTATCTCTGCCGGTTTGCATGATATGAATTGTTTTTACATTGCTGTAAATAAGCAACCTTTACCCTTCCAATAATAATTTGTAGCTCGAAAACCGGCTGAGATAGAGCCTTCTCCTTAAAAATTTTTCCCAGAGGACCGTAAAATTGCGTGTTTAGTCAAGAAAAAAATACGCCCAAAATTGAAGTTTTCAAAACCACCTCTTATGGCAGGCCAGAATAACAGGCAAGGGAGGGTTATGAAAACGTAAAATGAAAAGACTTAAAAAATGTTTTCAGGAGTTTTCGTCCAAAATGGCGTCTGGAAAACACTATTACAACCCAAGAATCGAAAATAAGCGATATACGACTTACCCTACTCGCTGGGCGGCACTTTGAGCGAGGGGGAAATCACTTGCGAAATAGTTCGTACACCTTCCCCCGAAATAAAGACGAATTAGAGCGAATTAAAGACGAAATAGACGCGAAATAGTCGGTGAAAAAGTCGCGAAATACCATTGAAATACTCCGAAATAGCGCGAAATAGCCTGAAATAATCCGAAATAGGCGAGAAATAGCCGAAATGGCAGGAGAAATAACCGAAATGGCAGGAGGAATACCACAAAATAGTCCGTACGCTACGAACCCAAGTGATTTCCCCCTCGACTTTGAGTTCGTCAAAAATTGACACTAGCGGGCTGGGCGCTAGGTTGTTTCATTTTGAGGGGTCAAGACGCCAAATTTTCTGAAGCGAGGTTCTTTTGAATGTTTATGTCATGCCGAAACTCATGGAGCAAACCCGGGCGGGTCTGTGCGATGCGATAGGTGTCCTTCGGACTTACCCTTTGGCCAACCCCGGGAACAGCCGGGCCGTTCGGACTGAATTCGGGACCCCACATTTTAAAACGGGCGAGTTACTAAAAAAAAATAAAAAATAATGCACTCTGCTTGATTCAATCTTAAACTGTATGTGTACAATTACAGTAAGAATGAAAACAATTCACACGAAGGAGAAGGATAATTCAAAGTATTTTGTGTTCTATACGGAGGTATGGGTAAAATGAAGTAGACTGCTTGTTGCAGCTTAGTGAGGAAGATTTATTGTATGCAGCATTTATTTATAACTGTGGATGGTTGGTGGAGGGGGGGTGGGATGACTGCCAATAGGCTTTCCTGTAATGGCAGGTGGCAGGCAGCGCCTCGACAACTATAGAACATTTTGTGCTAAGATGGAAAATACTTTTGGGGAGCAAATCATGCTGAGGTAATAAAAGTACAGAAGATTAATTACGTACATGCCTCAAATGCATATTACACTGTATAACGGAAACAATAAAAGCAGATCAAAATAATCTAAACATATTACAGGCAGATATGGAGTCATGCAAAGAGAACAGTTCAACAAAATTTAGCAAAACAAGAAACACTTAAAAAAGAATAGCTATGCTTATTTAATAAAATGACACAGGGAAAGAGTTAAACAAAACAACAGAACTAGTACTATAAAAAAACTACAGTTATCATTAGCGATAAAGAGTTACTCCAAAAAAATATAATAAAAGTATACTACACTCTACTTTCTTGCAGAGTGAGACTCAAAGTGTCGGCAAGGGGCGGATGTGGCTCGCAGTTGAGGAGGGGGGGGGGGCAAAAACATGCGGGTTGCCTACTTGGGCTTTCTCCATGTAATACAATAATGCGAGCGAAGCGAGCGTAAATTTTTTGAATTTGTGCTCCTTTTGGGTAGCAAATTTAAACGTTCAAACCTTGTATATGCTAGAAACGAGAGTAAAAATCCCCGTGATTAGGCAAGGAGCAGAGTGAGAAGACCGCGAGCAAAGCGAGCGAAAAAAAAAGGGGGGGGGGTTCAATAAGTGGCCTAACACTTCTCCCTAAAAAATCGCGGGCGAAGCGAGCTAAATTTTTTTTAAAGGTACCCGCTAAGCTCAAAATGTAGACGTTTGACACTAAGGTGAGAATAAGTTATGGCAAGTTTTGTTCCTATTGCAAGTTGAAGGTCATTTAAAATTACTGCTTTGTTTAGTTCATCCTCACCTGGGTATTGGACAATGCTGCGCTCGTTAAACGGTATGCGATCGATGATTTAAGAGAAGCGAAATTAATCCAGCTGATAGACTGATACCTCCTTACTTTGATATCTTATAAAGGCAAAGGAAGGGCGAATATACATCCAGCCTACTTTATGGAAAAACATTTCAATGTTTTTTTCCCCTCATTTTTCCTCTATTTCCCCTTTTCCCCTCCTCTTTT